CATCAGAAACTAATGATGTATTGTATGGTGACTAACATAACATAATAAAATTAAATTAAATTAAAAAAAGAAAAATAAAAAAGACTTTATTTATTTGAGAGAAAGAGAGAGAGAATAAGAGAGAGAGCACGGGAAGGGGAAGGGTCAGAGGGAGAAGCAGACTCCCTGCTGAGCAGGGAGCCAGATGGATGCAGGACTTGATCCCAGGACCCCGGGATCATGACCTGAGCCGAAGGCAGTCACTTAACCAATTGAGCCACCCAGGCGCCCAATTTTTATAATTTCTACTGTCAACCTCAAGAATTTTCAACCCTATTAAATAACAGTCTATGTTTTAAAACTTACTGCTTTCTACTCTAGGAGGACGTGTAAAGCTAAATGTTAGGACACGTTATGATTTCCACTTTCCTATTTTCACTCAAGGTACTTGTTGGCACACCAATTCACTCTGTCACTATATGAGTTAATGTTATTTTCATAACTTTCTTTCATGGTGCTCAGCTTTCCCTTTGAAAACTCCCATTAACATTTCTTCTTGTTCTAAAATGAGTAGGCAGAAGTGTCAGCTATCTGAGGAGGATGTGTTTGGCTGAACTAGAATTTTCCTCAGTTCCTAATCCAAGAGCTGTACTTTGAGAAAATGTCATAATTCATAAAAAGGTAAGTTTAATGAAATTGTCAGGTTGTCCAATCTGTATTTCAGATGGTTGGGGACAGTAATTCAGCAAATAAATTTTTGGTTTTATAAATATAGGCTAATCACTTATGAAGTGTGATTAGTTACAATAAGATCTTTCATTTAATGAGTAATTATTTTGTGAAAAATGTAAATCTAAGTGCTACCTGCACATCTCATTTTTATTCCTATTTAAGAGACGAGATAGCAGAGGCATGGAGACACATAAGACACTTTCTTAAGATTCTGCAACTATTAAGCTCAAAGAGCTAGGATTTGAACCCACACTTTCTGAATGTGGCTTCCAACCTCTTAGCCAACCTTCTGAACTTCTATTAGAGCCTAATGTGGCAAGTCAATATTTCTGTGGGTGATAAAACTTTGCATATGCACTCAGTTACTACTGGTGGAATGAATATACAAGAAGATGCATGAATAATTGAGTGAATGTATTAGCAAATGAGTTTTTAGTGGCATATAGCATAACTGATATATTCTCATGCAAAAAATTAATTTTTAGAAAGAGATTTCCTATCGTGGCATGACACATTTCCGGAATATCTTGAAAAATGTGAATTCACATATTTAATTTTATCATTAACTTGGGACAGAGAAAAAAATTATTGAGTTGCATGGAACCAGACCATCTATCTGTTATTGGCAGTCACTTTATTTTGAATGACAATACCAAGTGTCAGTAGGACAGTGATTTATCTTCTTTCAAGCTAACGAGTTAAATAAAATGCAGTTTGATAGAAATATATATATATACAAAAGTGTACAACATGTACATACTTTTTATTTTATTTCATATTTATACATGATATTTTTGCTAAAAATTATACATACGAGGCTTTAAATTCCAGTGTACCCTTGTGTCTATCTGTTTAGTATATGGGCAGCTTGGTTTGATTTTCCTCAAAGCAACCATTACCGGATCATGCCAACAAATCTGTCTGCTACTAACAGGCACCATCAACATTCTGCTTCCTAAAAGAATTTCTTAGCAAAAATTTAAACTCATTCTCTTATTTGTTATTACTCGATGAACAATCATTATGGCCAAGATAGCTGAAATTATCAGAGATTCTATTTGTCTTAGTAATAATGGTGGTGCCTTACAGTGTCCTTCTGGACCTGTTTTCTGAGACTTAACACAACAGAAGACAACCTTGGGCATTTTATGTACGTGTGTGCATGCATGTATGCACATAGGCATGTGCATGATTTTGGAGCTTCCTAATCAGTAGGGGAAAAAAGAACACCTCTACTGTTCAGAGGATTTTCAATATCATTCACAGTTCCTTAGCTAGAAGAACTTTTCCTTGGACAAGCAGAATTCCCTTTCTTATTTCATGTATAAGTTGAGTAAAAACCAGACTAAATAAAATAGTCTTTTAAAAAATTCTTCAATTAAGGGGAAAAGTTTTGATAAGATGTTTATCAATGTCAACTAAACCACACTGTCAAGAACTGAGGATCTTTAGACATTCTCAAGACATTTACAAGCATCACACAGTTGCAAGAGAATGCAGAAATAAATGTACTAAAACATCAAATGGCATCAAAATCCTTTGGCTTGGATTTCCGCTTCTGGTCAAGTTGGTGTAACAGGGACCAGATTTAGGCTCTTGGCTAAAAACTGAAGAAAATGGACAAAATATATGAAATGATGGTTTGAAGACATTAGATACCTGACAGTGAAAGATACTGATCTCTGAGGAATTAGAAACAAATGAGGTGACTCCACAATTGTTGCCACTTACTGTCTGGAAAGAGTTCCAGGCTACGACAAAGGATAAAGAAACCCTCACAAAACTAGGAGGTCTCTTTGAGTGGGTGAGATGAAGCTGGGACTTCCAGGAGGCCAAGATGGCTAGAGTTCACAGGGCAGAGTACCAAACAGGAGAAATATACACAGGGAGAGAACACTAGAGACCCCCAGAGAACTCCCTTCCAGGCTTCAGTGGAGTCCTGATCAGCTCTTACATGTGAGCAAACTACACATGATGAGGGAGAAAACTATGCAAAAAGATGAAAAGTAACAGCCACCAGAGCTCACATACAGCTGGGATAGTGCCTATTCTTGCCAGCCACTGTGGAAAACCTCATCATTCACAGGGCATCAGAGAGCATACTCAGAAGGGTTTTGACTCAGTAGTGGAGCAAAATTAGCCCTAGACTTAGCTGTTCTACTTCAAACTCACAAAGTCTAAAAGAGAGATGCTCAAAAGATCAAGTTGCTTCCAAGTAAATTAACTGTGTCCCAGAACAAAGGTCAAGAATATTTATCAGCACAAAAATACCAAGCACTCAACAAGTTATAATTCGCAACATTCGGCATCCAGTCAAAATTACCGTTCATCCAAAGAAGCAGGAAAAAAAGACCCATAATGAAGAGAAAACTTAATTGAAAATGACCCGAAAGAGACACAGATGATAGAATTAATAGACAAGGACATTATACCAGTTGTTATAATTGTATCCCATATTTTCCAAAAGGTAGAGGAAAGATTGACAAATTGAGTAGAGACATGAAAGATGTAAAAAGACCCAAGTCACACTTCAACAAGGTGTTGAATCACACAAAACAACACTGTCTAAGGTTACAAATATACACTACAGGGGATTAACCACAGATTAGATATTGCAAAAGATTAGATTGGTCAATTTGACAATATAAATCATGTAATATGAATTACACAGAAAAAGGACTGAAAATAAAAAGAACACAACATTAAAAATAATGCCTGAAAAATTCTAAATTTGATGAAAACTAAAAACCCATAATTCAAAGAAGCTTAACAGACCTCAAGAACAAGAAACATGAAGAAAATTATACCAAGGCACATCATAAACCAATTGCTCGATTTCCAAAAGCCCTCCCTAATAACCCTTCTGTATGTTAATCTCCATCTCAGAGGGGGCCTCCCAAAGATGCTGACCTGAAATATGTACCAAAATCCATATTAAAACAACCACTCTCTGAGGAGTAGAATGGAAGTATACATACACTTCTGCATTGCTTTATTTTTTATAGTGAGTATATATTTTTTAAATAATAAAAAACAGATTAAAATGTATAACTACCTTGTGTAGGTTATCTCTGGAAATGGCAAGAGGTTTAACATCTCCTCAAGTACAGCTTAATGGCACATATTTTCGAGACCTAGTAATGCTGCATTAGCCCCAAATTTACTTTAGTGCTATTACAAAATGTATTTTCTATATGATGGCAGATTGGAAAGCCATGGATTTCCTCTATCTTCAATGCCAATGCTGATGTATATACAAGTTTTATGGATATACACATAATTACACAAGATTTTTAAATTATTCATATTATGTTTACACAGCTTACCTATATGTATGTGCTTACATGCTTACTTAATATCATATTTTTGCTATGCAAGAAATTGTATGAGAATAGAGAACTATAAAGTTGAATATGATGTTGCTTTTATGAATCCTGCATTTTGAAATGTCTGAACATATAATAAATTACCTTTTACTTTGCTTTTATCTGTCCTAATCAGTATTTTACGGCATTAAAAATTGGCCACAACTCAAATCTGCTTGATTGAAAATTGATACATGAACAATTTGAGGTAAAAAGTTACCAAAATACTTTAGACTTGGTATAATAAACTCAATATTTCCTGTCCTTAACTGTATATTTTATAACCTAAGTTATAACCTCCAAAATCTAATTTATCTTTATCTGCATACTCAAAAGACACAGCAAGTTGAAATTAAACTGTACACTGGTCATAATCCATATGTTGCATTTCCATTAACACAAACCATAAAAAAGTCAGTAAGTACCACCAATTAACTCTGCATTGTTTTGGCCTCCGGACTATCTCAGAAGGCATTCTGTCAATAGAATATATAGAAATATTGCCAAATCACCACAATTGTCTCTAGGGAAAGAGAACTGTAATTTTATCATGATGGATATTTCCAGCAACTGTATTATTGTTAAGTATACCACAAGTTCTCCTGTACAGGATTCAACATAAGGCAAAAACACAGGACACCGCGCTATAAGATTCTTCCCTGTATCACAGATTTGATTACACTTTGCAGTTCATCAGATAGACCAGTTAGATCTAGGCTAACTCTCACCCTAACACAAATAGTTCACAGCACAGGCTCCCAACATGGTATTCTGATGATGTTCTAGTATGTGTAGTGATGACAACAAAAGTCGGGAATTATAAATTTCCATCATCCTTCACAACCTGAACTTAAAGAAGTTAAACAGTTGCCATATTGTGGCGAAGACAAAGACAGTTTGAAAAAAGAGATCTTAAAACCTTACCTTCAGATACCATTTGTATTTGGCATGTTCCCAATTCTCAGGGATTTGTGTCTTTTTGAGAAACTGTTCTGCCTCGGTTAGCCATTGATTGAGTATCTTCATATCATAATGAAACCGCCGCCATTTTTCCACAGATCTGTCAAATCGCCTAGAGGCAAAAAATATGGATCGAGAAAAATAAATGGATTATACAAATTACATGGACATAGCATATATGTTATATTATGTGGAGAAGGATATTATTTTGATAGTTTCTCACATTTGTAGATTTCAATTTCATTTAACATAAATAAATGATACTGGATAAAAAGGATGAATTAAAATAAAAGGCTGCGATTTTTGCTTCAAAATCAAACACATTTCTTGAATGAAACAAAGATAAAAATAACAATTATGGAGTATTAACATTTTCTTCCCTATGAGCATATTTAATTTAAAAAATTCCAGGAATTTAAAAAATATATACGAGCATCTAAGAAATTAAGTATTTTGAAGCTAGATATTCAATAACAACATATTTTTTGGATCAAAATCTAATTATCTGCACTAGGTGTTAAATGTAAATGGTGAATCACTAAATTCTACTCCTGAAGCCAATGTTACCCTATATGTTAACTAACTAGAATTTAAATAAAAACTTGAAGCAAAAAAAATCAAATTATCTCATGAAGGCTATCAATTTCCATATTACTTTTGATCCAAAAGAGCTTATGTATTAAGGTCCTCAAGCATCCAGGATAACAGATTTAACCAACTGATACATTAGTCTAAACCAGGTGATGAGTGTTGTCTTCATTTAATCTTCTTGTTTTGTTGTATCTGCTAATATTTTCAATTGGAATGCTGAAGGAACTCAGTGCAAGGTACTGTGTTAATATCGCACATGGAAAGAATATTAAGAGGGAGGTACCTGGTCATGTTCTGGTCACAGAAGTGACTGAGGCAGAAATGAGCCAGGGTTATATGTTGACCTTAAGACAGTTGCACATAAAAATCACCAATTAAATCAGTATCTTTGCGGGTGGGATCCTGACACTGGTATTTTTAAAAACACCCAAGTGATTCTAATGTATAGTCAAGGTGAAAAACATTCTATAAAGTAAGTTTCAAAGTCTTAAGGGGGTCATGAACTACTGGGTCTCCTAGGGCCTGTCCAAAAAGGTATTTTCTAGCATTAAACCAAAAACCATCCTGAAAATTCCTGGCTGTGGGGCTGCCTCAGAGTCCAGGAACCTGTGGAAGTTCTCTGAGGTCTACTCTTAAGATGTAGTGGGTTAAAGTTCTGAATATCTCGACATCTTTTCAGATCTCTACCTCCATTTAGGAAATTTAAATAATCTTAGAACTTAAATAATGCCCCAACTCCCTATTGTTTCAGTGGGAAAGGAATGGAATTAACGTTTCTTTAACAGTTACTATGATCCAGGCACTGGGCTCCATGTTTTTACTTATTTCATGGACTCCTACAACATCCCCTACAACATAACAATTATTATTCCCATTTTCCACTGGAGAAAAGTGAGAGTCTGAGTAGTCTGCCAAAAGGTAAACAGGAATAAAATGACAGAAAGGGGATTCTCAGATCTCTCTGGCTTCAATGATGCCTTTCATGGTCTTCCATGCTCTTTGGTAGGATTTCCTTTTTTTCAAGGTGAAGTCTTACTAGCTAAATAATTCAAAGATATAGTTGTTGGGATTTTCTTTCTTCTTCTTTGTCATCTTGTAAATAATGTATCTACATCTACAGTGCATTTTATCAGACACCACACTTGATGATTAACTATATTTTTCTTTTTTAAAGATTTCCTTATTTAATTTATTTGAGGGGGGAGGGGCAGAGGGAGAAGAAGAGAGAAACTTCAGCAGACTCCGCACTGAGCACGGAGCCCAATGTGGGTCTCAGTCTCATGACACTAAGATCAGGGCCCTGAAATCACGACCTGAGCCGAAACCAAGAGTCAGACATCTAACCAATTGTGTCACCCAGGCACCCCAACTATCTTTCTTACTTTAAAAATACCTAAAACAGTATTTTGGTAGCATTAAAAAAGGCAGCCAATGGTAGCCAAAAAGGGTAGTCTTTAACTATAGATAGTTTAAAAATAAGAATTCAGCCTTTAATAATTAAAGGCATTCTAGGGTTGATCAAATGTGATATAACCATCAGCCACAAAATGATCTTGGAAACATTTTGCGTGGTGTAATGATAATTATGTTTCCATATATTTTCAGCACTATATAATACACAATAAATGACTTAAGAATACATCTTAAGAGGGGTGCCTGGGTGGCTCAGTTGTTAAGCATCTGCCTTCAGCTCAGGTCATGATCCCAGAGTCCTGGGATCGAGCCCCACATTGGGCTCCCTGCTCAACAGGAAGCCTGCTTCTCCCTCTCCCACTCCGCCTGCTTGTGTTCCCTCTCTCGCTGTCTCTCTCTGTCAAATAAACAAAAAAAATCTTTAAAAAAAAAAAAAGAGTACATCTTAAGAATTTACTCCCTTTATTTTTAAGATTTATTTATTTATTTGAGAGAGAGAGAGGAGGAGGAGAGGGAGAGGGACCAGCAGACTCCATGCTGAGCGCAGAGCCCAACGTGGGGCTCGATCTCTAGACTCTGAGAACCACCTGAGCCACTCAGGTGCCCCAGAATTTATCCCCTTTAAAAGAAAACTGTACATTGCATATGTCTCATAGTGACTCACATCACGAGTCAAAATATTTGTTAAGTGAGAAGCTAAAAAATGATGAGGCATAGTTGGTATTTTTCCATCTTGGTGAGACTACAGTTGATTTCAATTTTCATTATATTTTTCTACGTTGTAAAGTTTTTCTACAATGTGCATTTCATACTTTGATATTCAGAAAAAATACAGTAACTTGAAAGTAATTTTAAAAGGCAGTTTCACACGTTAATGACTACTACCTCCAACTTTCTTGCTGCTACCACAGTTTGAGAAACAGGCAGAAGCTAACCAGAACACAGAAGAATTGGCATTTGGTCACCATTTACCATTCCTCCACCTTTGTAGCAGTCATTGGTCCCCTTCTTACTTTGCTTTTCTTCTCCCTTATCCCACCACCAGAATTATTCTCTTGCCAACTCTTTTCAGCTACTGGCAGGTGACTGTTTTTCCAACATTTGTGCTGTAAATGCCAACTCTTCACTCCAGGCTGCTGCACAGATGTGTCCCTCCAGCATTCAGAGCACTGGCAGTTACCACCTTCCACTAGATTCCACAAAGCCTCCTTCCTCCCCAACCAGCCCCTGTTCCTCTTCACAGATTATCTTTCCTCTAAATTCCCCTAAAGAAGAAAACCATAAGGGCTCCTACAATTAATCATGGCACCCCTAGCTCTGCAAGACACAGCTGGAGGTGGGAAGAAAAGGGAAACATGCTATAGTCCCGGGCTCTCTATTTTTCATCCTTGTTCCAGGCCCACAAAAATGAGACAGGATGGACTTGTCAGCCACACAGAACTATCTGTGGTTCCCCATGCCCTGCTACTGTCTCAGAGCTATGTGACTTGGCACATTAGTTCCATATTCTTGAAATGCCTTCTTGCCCTCTTGCTCCCTTTTCCCCAACTCCTGCAAAGCAAACTTTTGCATTAAAAGACTTGGTTTGGGGGCGCCTGGGTGGCTCAGTTGGTTAAGCGACTGCCTTCGGCTCAGGTCATG